CCCTTGTACACCCCAAGAATCTAGGGCACTGTGGAAAAAACCTCAAGATACGGGTATAATGGTTTATACTGTGCTCGTGGATGTCCACAAAGCAGTGAGAGAACTGGATACACAAGTATTGAGGTCCACGCTGCTGTACACAATACAGAAATAGGTCATATAGTCCTCCAGTGACATTCTTACCAAGTATTAAAATTTACTTTAACAAACAGAAATCTTTCATGGTGAGTCACTACAAACAATGGAAAGAAACTGATACTGAAAGGTACTGGTTTGGTAACCTTTCCTTTCCTTTTTTTTTTTTTTCTTTTTCTTGCTATTTCTGTGACTTGATGCTTTTTATACATGTGCTCCAAGTGTTAATACGAGTCAAAATTTCTTACCTACTGGTTCCTTTCTAGTGGGTCATATCCCATCACCCATACATAGTAACTTCAGTTGTCAATGTGTGTCTTTGGAAAAAAATGTATTCTGGAATGATTCTATTAATTTAACTTGTTAGCAGTAAAGAGTATTTGATGTAATTTTTAAGAAATCTGAGAAGTGGAAGCGTTTCTCTGTGAAAGAAGTAAAATGTATCTTGTGTAGTGACTTTCCTAAGTGTTTTTGCATATTGAGATGCAATGTGCTGTGTAGGTGTTGGCTGCTTGCAGGGTCGTACACTAGAGCGCACTGTGTTTCGTACAGAACCAGCACCGCACTGGTGAGCGGCTGAACACAGAGTGAACATCTGCTTGCCCGAGGAGACGACAGGCCAGGCATGGAGGGCTTTGTAGATTCATCCAGAGGGGTTGGTTTGGTGCTAGACACCCACAAATTCACCAACTTTCCGTGCTTGCCTGGTTTCACACTAGGTGCATCTAAAGAAAGCATCTGAATTGTCATGTGCTGGGAACAGATCTTCCTAATACAAATCAAAGCCACTGAGGGGAGTTGTTGAAATCATGATAAAATTTGCTTTACCTTGGATTGGATAGAAAGGTAGTCATTGCGTGCCAGGCCTGAAAGGAGTTCTGGTGTAAATCAGAAAAACCTGATTTTTGGAGAATAGTGGTAGGTAGTAACTGAGGCATAAAATATATGCTTTATTTAGTAAATTTGTGGTATTACATAATATCTGTACATGGCTCAATATTCCCTACTTTTACTAACACAAGGTATCTGATCGTGAAAAGTATTCAGTGGTGGAAAAAGGTATTATCAGTGCCAAATTTTTACTTTATCTTTCCTTCTCCCAGTGCTGTTTGCCTGCATTTGTACCTCAATAAATGCCTTTCCTTAGGTTAATGATTATCTTGTCAGTAGTTTTTCAAGATGTAACATGAAAGTTTAACTTTGCAGTTTCATATGCATTAGTGACTAATAAAACGGACCTCCTGAGATATACAGCATTTCATTCTGTAAATTGGTATATAACATTAAAAAGAAGTTCCTGGAATCATTTATACAACGGCTTGTTAAATAAAATGACCTTTTATTTGCACTAGTAACTCCCTCCTCATGCTCTTTTGTTCGTCTTTGTGCTTGTCAGCACTGTTTATCTTCTACCTTCTTAGCACGGTGTTTACTACTATAGTGGTGTGATCATGTTATTTATTTTTGTTTATGAATGCAGTTTGTTGGCTTTCGTAGTATCAGCCCTTCTTCCCAGTCTTTCAGTGTAATTCTTTCCCTTCTAGGTTCGTATGATGAAAGACAGCGATCCATCCTGGAAGCCCACTTTTATTGTAAAACCCGATGGAGGGTGCCAGGGGGATGGAATCTACCTCATTAAGGACCCAAGTGACATCAGACTGACGGGAAGCATCCAGAGCCGGCCAGCTGTGGTCCAGGAATATATTTGCAAACCACTGCTTGTTGATAAACTGAAATTTGATATTCGTCTTTATGTCTTATTGAAATCTTTAGAACCCTTAGAGATTTATATAGCCAAAGATGGACTTTCTAGATTTTGTACAGAGCCCTATCAAGAACCCACCCTAAAAAATTTGCACCAGGTTTTTATGCACTTAACCAACTATTCACTGAATATCCATAGTGGGAATTTCATCCATTCTGACAGTGTAAACACTGGCAGCAAGAGGACTTTTTCAAGTATCCTGTGCAGACTGTCTTCCAGAGGAGCTGATGTCAAAAAACTGTGGTCAGATATAATTTCACTGGTGATCAAAACAATTATTGCACTGACCCCCGAACTGAAAGTTTACTATCAGTCTGACATACCATCAGGAAAGCCTGGACCAACTTGCTTCCAGGTAGGTTGGAAATTCTGCCAGAATGCAGTTATTTCTATGCGTGGATTAATTTTCTGGATGTTCAGTTCCTCTTCTGAAAGCTTTCTGTAGTTATGTTGCTGATCACTGGTTGAATGTGGTGCATCCACTGAGTAGTGCAGTCTGGGCAATGCATTCCATGAGCTCAGAGCTCAGGTTCTCCTCGCTCAAGTTTTACTTTATGAATCTGTCTCCTGACCTATGTTACTACTTGCCATAAACATATATGGAGAATTTTCAGCGAGTATCAATCATGAGTAGCAGTGTTCACTCCGGTTTCTATACTGATGCAGCTACAATGATGGCAGTTTTAAGACTCACTTGTCATAGGTGCTAAGATTCCGTGTTAACAGATGCAGTATTTAGAGGTGGGGGGTAATGTGAAAGTAGCCATCATTATCAAAGGCAAATGGTTTCAGTAGTTATTCAGCAGTACAGCGTGTTTCTCAGTTATTTCTCTTTTGTCCCTCAAATGTTTCTTCCTCCTGATTATTGACATTGCGTTCTCTGGAAGAACACCATGAGTAGAATGGAAGTAACATATTGCTTGTTATGCGCAGATTTTGGGGTTTGACATTCTCCTGATGAAAAACTTGAAGCCCATGTTACTCGAAGTAAATGCAAACCCCAGCATGAGAATAGAACATGAGCAAGAGGTAAGACCTCCCAACGTGACAGTCATACTGGAATGAAATTGTTTAGGTTTGGTTTTCTCGACGTTTTTCTTGTTTGAAAGATGAAAGCTGTCTGCTAATACGAAACCTCCAAGGTTCTCTGTAATTTTCTGCTTGGAAATCATTGCTAATCTTATACACTGGAAATATGACTTACTGGAATTGTGAAAGCTCTCCATCATCTTTGTCATAAATACGTTTATTCATCATCCCCTGCAGTTGACTTAATTGCGTTTAAGGGATTGCTAATAATTTTTTCATGTTTGTATACGTAATATAAAAGGTAATATTGGCAACAATCTTTTTTAATATTTCAGTTTACTAGAGAAACTTTCCAAAAATTGTTGTAGTATCATACTGAAAATGTTAAGGTGTTTGTGTATTCTGTAAGAAGTATTTTGTAATCTGTCATTGCGTATTTAAAACGTACGTGACATGCATGAAGTTTGAGCAAATATGGAATAATAATCCTTAGTTCTATACTGAATGATTGTATCCCTCTGTAATTTAAAGCTTTCTCCTGGAGTGTTTGAAAATGTCCCAAGCCCTGTTGATGAAGAAGTGAAAGTAGCTGTTATCAGAGACACTCTTCGTCTAGTGGACCCTCAGAAAAAAAAGAGAAAAGATACCCAGTAAGTGTGGTGACTTTCTTTGTTTTTTGCAATAATTATAAAAGTGAAGTATTTTTTCCCAATTATGTTACTTTATCCAGGACAATGAGTTCCTCACTATCTGTGTCACTCCTTTCACATCCACAGTGTTAACTCTTTCAAAAAAGCTTGTAGGATGTTAATTGGTGGCGTGGTACAAAACAAGCAGTTGGCTTTGTGGATCTGCCAGGGGAAGGCCAGAGAAAAAAAAAAAAACAATTCCTGGTACTTTTTGTTTAGTAGCAGCAAGTCCACCAAATGGCGTTCTCACAGCGCGGCGCTGACCGCTTCGCGTGCTGCTTTCTTGTAGGAACAGCAGACGTGTGGAAGGAGCCATGCTCTAGCTCAAGCAACCAAAAAGGTCCACAAACTGATAGTAAATCAGACTTTATCAGTTCCCCTGGAATATCTTACCTTTGATTCAGAACTGGTGCAAACAATTAGTAACTCAGGGTTATTTATTTGTACTTTTACTTGAGGCCTCTTTTTTTATTCAAAGCAATCATGAGATGTAAATTTGTGTGTTAATTTGCTTGAAAGTCACAAATTACTCTGAATGAATTGCCCCATTGGAGCTGAAAAGTATGAATATTGTATTTAGGAATTGCTTCCTTGATCTGTGATAATAAACATAGTTAAATCTATGATCTAGAAATGAGAGGAACTGCCTGAAGCAGCTTGCACAGAAATGCTTGTGGTGGGATCAGACCGAGAGAAAGAATATCTTTTTTTTTGATGAAACACCTTGTTTTAAGCAGTTCCTTGGAGACATGAAAGGCAGATTTTATTTTTTTTTTCTGTTGTTCCCAGAAATTCTTGCTTATAGGCCTGCCTCCGTACTAGAATATTGATTTTGTTCTTTTCTTGGCACTTAGCGGCAAGGTTAAATATGTTATTCATGTTCTATAATGATTTCAAGGGCAAACTTGCTGTCCTTTTGTAGACAGAGTCCCATGAACAAGACATGACTGACAATACTTACAAGTTCTGTATTATTGTAATATTATTATAAGATCAAACTATTCTTTCGGAGTCAGTGCCATGCATAGAGGTTGCTGTGGCCAGTATACAGAGTGTCTTGCAAAGCAATCTATACTGCATATTGCCTGCACTTAACCTTCACCCTTAAGATTACTTCAGTGCATGGGCTGAAAAAAGATTATTTTTTAACCTGTAATTATGTAGTCATGTCTTTTTTTTAATGCTAAAGTTGTGTCAGGCATTCATTAACTACATATTAGATACGGAAAAAAGGCAAATGATAATTACAGATAAATTCTTGGAGAGCACCGATGTGTGTGGAACACTCATTCAACTGAGGATTTTTCTCCGATATATTCTGAGTACTAAATAATTTATGACACGATTGGTCAGTGATGAGATAAACCATTGGCTCTTCACAGCAAGAATTCATCAGTGATGCAGCTTTTGTTCAGGATAATCTGGTTAACAGAACATCTTGTTGATTAATATCTGCGTGTCTTCACCTTAAGTCAATCTTACTTCTTGCTGCAAAGGGCAATATTCGGATGACTTTTTTGCATGGATATACAGGAACCCACGTGTGACAACTCCCCACCAATTCAACTGAGATCTACTCCTACTTCCAATTTCTTTTTACTGAACTGGGCGCTGTACGTGGAACTTGCTGAGACACAATCTTTCTGTGAGCTTCAAGTAAAGGACTTCATTCTGATCACCTATGGGGATTTACACCAAAGTAAAAGCATTTGGGGAAGGAACTGAGCACCAGTTGCTTTTGCCTTATCTTCCCTAGCAAAGGTTTTGCAATGCTTTTGCTTTGTGTCCTTCCTCTCACTTGTGTCTGTGCATTTCAACCAGTTCTAACGTGTGCTCCCGTCTTCCCTCCCATTCCTACCAGTAAGTGCAGAGAAATGGCATCGTTCCGCTGCTTGCAGGACAAAGATAATAACTAAATAATTGACCGGAGATGGAAAGCAGTAGTTTGCCTATCCACTGTAGTACTTTTGCTAGTCTAATTGCACCTAGCAGCAGGGAAAGCAAAATTTGGCCTATTAATAGGAAAAAAAAAATCTGAAAGAATTCCTATTCTGACAGCTAACCAGCAGCAAACATTGCAGACTCTAGTTTTGATGCTAATTAGGTAATGGACATTAATTTAAGTAAAGTTTTAACGATACATATCTGAGTTTGAACACACAGGGGAAATACTGAGAAGTCTGAGCTGCATCTCAGGTAAATATTCTGCTGTGGAGATGGATTTGATTTCCCTCTAATTATCTCCCAGATTAAAATAAATGAAGCATCTAAATGAAAGTGAGTTTTAGAAGTCATCCTGAAGTACTTCATTATCAGGAAAGATTAATAGCTCAGAATTTGTTGTAGTTTAATTATTCCTCATCTTTATAGAGTTTAGATTATTTCTTTTCCTCCCTCCTTTCATGTGAGGTATAACATTGAAATATAAGTTGAGTAAGATCAGTTTGTCGTGCCATACATACCTCTGAATTTTTCAACGCAGTTCCGGTCTTTACATGCACCAATCACTAGTAATTATCTTGACACCACCAATAACTGGTCGTTGAATATCAGCAGTGATAAAAATTCAAATGAACGTACTTAAATATATTTAGTGGGTATTGTTCCACAGTATGACTGAGCTTTTTTTGGTTTCAAGAATTTGTCCTGGCTATTTAAGTACTGCGGTATGTGCGTGTAACGTGTTTAAACAAAAACTTCAAATGCAGGCAAATGCTATTGGTTTTATTTAATCATTGTTGAGGAAAATCTCATTTTCCAACAGAAGAGGAAATCTCTTCTGTCGTAGAGATGAGGGAAAGGTTTGTGTTATTCTGCGAAGGAAAGAACAGAAGGAATTAAAACAGGATAAAAAGTGGCACAGGCACATGTGAGGCTTTTGGGAGGGATGGGTGGGGTGGGATACTGCACAGCGCCTGCTTCTCCCCGACGTGATGCAAGACCTGCTGGACAAACCTCCTGCACCTCATATGCAGAAGACCTATTCCACGTGTCAAGATCCGAAGGCAGTGGGTATCCCTATCAAAGTGAATGTCCTGCTTTGCTTCATTAATTCCCTTGCTGCTCCCGAATCCTCTGCGTTAGCGCAATCGTAGCCGAAGTCGGCTGACAGCAGAGTTAACGAGTGACTATTAATAGAGAGATTTGGAGCCACGTGCTGCTCTGCAGGGTGAAGACATATGGCAGTCGAGGAGAATCGGAAGGCGGCTCTGCGGGTTACGTTGTCCGGGTGTTTTCAAGCCATTCTGCAAGCCAGAGGGTGAGGGGTGTCTGGCTCCGCCTGAGCCTGGCTAGTCCTTTCTGAAATTAAAGGCAGTAGCTCATCAACTACATGTTGTGTGTTTTGTTTTACTTTTTTGCTCCTCCTCTTTAAAAAAAAAAAAAATCCAGCTAATAATGCATGGTTATAAAAAGAGAGTTTATGATGTTTTTTTGTTTGTTTGTTTTTCCTAGTGAAATTTTGGTGGAACTAAAATGTAGAGCCTTTTTTTCCCCTAGCTTTGGTTCCTAGACTAGTCCTCTCTCTAGGCATTCTTAATATAGAACTCACGTTTCACTCGTAATCAAGAAATTAAAACATTTAATAAAATAATGTGGAAGATACTAACTCTTTGCTTGTTTGTGTGGCAGTACTGTTCTCATGGATTTTAAGGCTTGAGTAGATCATTGCAGTCATCCAGGCTGATGACGTGCCGGAACAAACACGATCATTTGTGGCTGAGCTGTTTTCTTGGAAAGATGGAATTTTAAACTTCTCTGTAAATCTGTGAAATATTATCAAACAAAGCTTACTTTCTTCTAGCATTACTACAGAGGGCATTCAGGGGGTGGTGATGGCCAGTAATCTTGATTTCTGTTCTGAACATCTGTCACTACTAATTTCAGAATTACCGTGGTGGTTTTTCCAGATGACGTTTTCTCAGCATTGGTAGCTCTTTTGGCTTGAATTTGTGACGACCTTCAGCACCAGCTTAGCCAGCTGGTCGTTGTATCGTCAGGAGGGAGCTTTCCTCCTTAAGTGAGAAATGTGATGTAAAAAAAGATGGGGAAATGTAGGGTTTTTTCACTCAACATATTCCAAGCATCGTGTAGAGCAGGGGTGGCACATGTCCCTTTGTAAGACTGGGAAACAATCACAGGATGCATTTTTAGCCAAGTCTGTAATGGTCAGCGTGGTCAGGAAGCTTGGCTACGCCCCCCTTAGAGTGCAATCCTTGTCATGTAGTAGTATAAAGTAAGGGATTGGACTGTACTCCATAATGTTTCTGCAAAGAAACTTATATAAAGCTTTACAGTATCAAGTTTGCTCTGGATTTACTTGCAGCAGAGGTGCTGTTCGCAGCCAGCTGAAGGGGGGAGAAGACTTCAGCTGAAGGAAATGTGCACAATTAAATGAATGGTCTAATGACACCAAAGAACATTTCAAGTAAATCAATGTTACTTATGTAAAGAACAGTTTAATTAATATAATCACTGATGCAAATCATTGTTTATGTTGTGACTCCCAACAGAAAATCCATTTCAAAAGGCATCACAAACTTCTACATTTTTGTGCCTAATTTTGACTCTTTATAGTAGTAAAATGTTTCAGTGTTTGCTTAATTATTAACAATTCATTCTTTTAAAAATTGCATTAGATTTGAGGAGCAAAAAGGAGTCTCAGTCTTGTATGCAAATATTGTATATTCTCCACTGGATGTTAGATGTAAACTATTTGACTGGTGGTATAGTTGCAAACCCTGAGTATCATTTGAGCAGGTCTGCTCTGAATGTCTTAGAAAGATCATTTATATCATCTTATCAATGCTAATGACCTGCTTTCCTGTCCTGTCAAAAATATTTGTGCCTTAGTTTATTAAAGCTAATTAATCCAGAGATAAGAGATTTCTTTATTTTTTAGTTGCTGCTGTTTATTCCCTGTCCCGGTATGATCTCTTGCATTTACATGCTTAGTTTCTGAT